GCGGGAGCAGCGGCTGGAGGCTGGTCCTGACCTCGGGAGCCTGTGCTGGAGATGGGTACAGGCTCGAGAATGTTGCAGGGAAACAAGAGCTTTGTTGCAGGAAAAAAAAAGAGCTTTTTTTAAATGCTGTTGGTGGTTTCTTGCCTTGTTTTACTGGGGGATTGTTGTGGCTTTCTTAATTTTATCTTGCTCGGAAAAAGGTCCTGCAATATATATTGATGAGAGCTTCTTGGGTATTACTTTCAGTCCCCCCCAGGGCAAGTAGCAGCTGCAGTGATGGCTGCCATCGACGCTGGGTACCGGCACTTTGACTGTGCCTACGTGTACCAGAATGAGAATGAGGTTGGGGAAGGGATCCAGCAGAAAATCAAGGAAGGTGTCGTGAAACGAGAGGATCTCTTTGTTGTCAGTAAGGTAAGGATACCACACCTGTTTTTTCATAATAACCCACCTGTTCCTTACTTTCTTACTCTGTGGTGTAGCACGTAATGATTCAGAACATCGTTAAGGCTGTTCCTGAGGCAAGCTTCCTACTTTTCCTCATCCTGTATGGAGAATTAAGCAGGGTATGTGTCCCTAACATAACTTTTAGACTTGATGATTTTGAAGGTCTTTTCCAACCAAAATGGTCCTATGATGTTTTGAACTTTTCCTGGCATGAAGCTATGCTGTCTCCTTTCATGCGGTACCTAATATTCTAGTAGGTGGCTTTTAAAGAAAGTCTTAATTAATGGAACCAGACTGTTTCTGCTTTCTGCCATGACAGCACTTGGCTGTGTGCTGTCACTGCATGTTCTGCCCTCAGTATCATGGGCCAGCCTTGCTCACAGAGCAAGCCTTATTTGATGGTCATTGGGATGACCTAGTTCCACAGCACCTTTCAAAGAGGACAGTCACTCCCCTGAACAGGAAAGAAGAGCTTGAAGAGTTTTAACTTTGGAAGTCACCATGTGCCTTGGCTTTATGTCTCTAGCTGTGGTGCACTTTTCATGAAAAACCTCTGGTGAAGGGAGCCTGCCAGAAGACTCTTGCTTCCCTGAAACTGGATTACCTGGATCTCTATCTCATCCACTGGCCTCTTGGTTTTAAGGTACAGTAAGAGCAATGTGCTTGGCTTTCTCTTGTGGCTGGCAATTTTTAAAGAGCTGTATGGCTTTGCAGCCCAGTAATTGCTCCAACTGATACAGATCATCATGTGTCTGTTGTGTACCAGCACTGCTCTGGTGCTCAGCTTTACTCTGGCCATGGGAACCAGATCCTTACCTCTGAGATTCCTGCTTGCACAGCATCCTCTGCCCTCTTGATTGTGGAATGGGTAGACCTTGAATTAGGGGTGGGTTTCTGTCCTGCAAGCATAAGTCACATTGCTCTCCTTTTGGATATTGCCTGTGTGTTGTCCTCTACAAATCTAGAGTATGCTCAGCTGACAATGATGTGGTTCTCTCTTTGTGAGAAGGAGGGCTGTGCTTTGCTGACTGACAGGTTTTTCTTCCTCTGCATGTTATGGAATCACAGAACAAGAGAATGTTTCTGTGTTCCATTTCTGTCTTTAATCACTGAGTTCTTTGATACAATACAGATTGAACTGACATTTGCTGTAGGAGCCTTAGTGTTCCACAGACCTTGGATTTCAAGAGGTGAAGCTTTTTAGTTCCTAACTTATACTGACTGCATGCAAAGGAACTGAGGTCTTGGTTTGAGTATTTCTAAGCTTAATGTTTCTGTTGGAGCTTGATCAAAATCTTCATTTTACTTGTTGCTCTTGAGATCACATTTTTTTCATAATATCTGTATTTATGAAATGAGTTTCATATGGTCAGAACTATCAAAGTGAAAGTGTGGTGTGGTGTAATGAGGTATCAGTAGAAAACAACTGGTTTTGAATGAAGTTGATACCTGGCATGTAGTCCTAACTGGGACACGGGCTGTTTTCACATTCCCTGTGCCAGCAACTTAAACAATGAGTCTCCCCATGAAAGACCTGTCAGCAGATCTGGTCTGATACAGATTGGACATGTTCCAAATCCAAAGTGGATCCTTAATTAATAAAAAATCTTTAATTGAACACTTATGTCCAAATAAGAACTGTATTTTTTGTAATACAGAAAGTAAGCTTGTAAACTGGCTATAGTTTTCCAAGTGGGAAGTTGTGTTTCACCATATGTATTTCTGTGAGCCAGAGGACAAGTGTGTCCAGCAGAAGTACCTGTCCTTATTGGGATGGCTGTGAGCAAGAATGCCATAACCCCATATGAAAGCAAAAGAGAAGACTGAAGAATGTAGATAATGAACTTCAGTATTATTTCATACATATGTAGATAAGAAGTATTAGTATGTCCTGTAGTAGGAGTTTGTAGTATCGTGCTCTTCAGCTGGTGTTAACTTCCCACCAACAAGTGTTTCAAATGCTTTCTTTGTCACTGGCAGGCAGGAGAGGAGCTGTTCCCCACAGATGACAAAGGCATGTCAATATCCAGCAACACAGACATTCGACACACATGGGAGGTAAGTTCAGCCACAGCAGGAGAACAGTGTCTTCTGTCCTTGGCAGTCTCTTCCATGTTTTCCTTATCTTCAGCAGTCTAAAATGTCTCCATGTAGAACTGCTTGGAATGACTCACCAGTACAACAGTGGCTTGGTATCATTGTGATTTTTCCGGAACCTCAGAGAATTCATCTTTAAACTTTTGTGAAATGAGAGATGTGGCACAAATATACTACTACTCTTTTTTTCTCAAACTTGAACTCTGAATGTTTCTTTTGTGTTTCTCATGAGGGAAATAAGCCATGTCAGAAAGAATGTGTTCTTCAGGCCCTGTCTTGTGTGCTGAATACTGATTTTCTTCTCTTTGTGTTAGGCCATGGAAGAGTTGGTGGATGCTGGTCTGGTAAAAGCCATTGGAATCTCCAACTTTAACCATGACCAGATTGAAAGAATCTTGAACAAGCCAGGACTGAAGTACAAGCCTGCAAATAACCAGGTAAGCTGCTATCACTGCAAGCAAATGTTTAAGTGGTGTTGCATTGTTGTTTGATTGTTTTTTAAGAAGTCTTACTATGAACTAAGATTATAGAAAGAGAATGGAGTAGACACAGTATGTTTTCTCAATCCCATGCTTTAACTACTTCTGGATTCACAAGGTGCTGCTTTTTTATGGACTTTCTGTACTACTATTTGGAAATCTGTCAAGGAGCAACTCCAGAATCCCTTTGGGTTGGTGGAGCATGACATAGAGTAGTTTTAAAAACTTCCTTTTGGTGAAGTAGAACTTGTGTGTGTGTAGAGATACAGATATAGATATGAGGACCTAACAGAATTGGATTACTTTTGTGCAACTCTTTGGCAGAAAGGTCAATTCCTGTTGCTGATAACTGACGGAACTGAACAGGAACATGCTTTAGGGACTGCTTACAGACTTAATGAGGGTTGGGAAGAAGGAGGAAATGGAGTTGCAAGGTAGGCCATTGCATAGAAATGTCGAGGTATGTAGACAGCACTTGAATAAAATTTAAGAAAGTTCAGATGGCAGGAGACATTGGGAGATAATCTGCTGTAATTCACAACTCAGAGCAGCATCAGCTGTGAGATCAAATGAGGCTGCTCGGGGCTTTAGCCAGCTTGAAAACCTAAAAGGATGGAGACTGCACAGCCTCTCTAGCTGGTGTTTCACTGCCTGAGCTCCTGCCTTGGGTATATGGAGAAGGGGTGGAGTTGTCTTATGTTCAGTCTTAACGTCTCTTGTTTCAATTTCTGCCTGTTGTCTCTTGTCCTTCCACCATACACTACTGAAGAGTTTTGTTTGTCTTTGGATGGCCTCATTTTAGGTATTGAAAGCTAGGAGACCTTCTCCAAGCTGAACAAGCCCAGTTCCCTCAGCCTTCCCCAATGTAGGAGGTTCTGCAGTCTTGAGCCATCCTGGTTGCCCTCTGCTGAAATGACAACCTCTCATTTTTCCTTCTACAGAGGGGACTGGGAGGGGGAAAACTGGACACAGTATTGTAAAGGTGGTCTGACAAGTGCTGAGTAGAGGCAGATGATCACTTTCCACAATGTACTACTGGCTGTGTTCCTGCTGCCAGGGCTCACTACTGGCTTGTGTTCAGCTCAGCCTACTATGGCCCCTAGGTTGTTTCTAGCAGTTGCTTTCCAGTCAGGCTCCATTCTGTCTTACTGCCAGGGGCTTATGCTTCCCAGGTGCAGGGCTTTGTGCATAGCCTTGATGAATTTCATAAGGCTTTTGTTGGCCTGTTCTTCTGCCTGAGGGGCTCCCTCTGAAGTGGCAGCCCTGCCCTAGGGTGTATTGACCAGTTCTCCCCCAGTCTGGCATTCTCTGTGTATTTTCATTATTGATTTTGAAGTATTTTTATGTTAATTAGTAGAAGTCTTATACCTTTCAACATCTGCCACACCTCATTGCCACAGTCACTGTACTTTATTGTTGTCCTTGTCTCTTGCATAAGGACACTGACCTTATGTCTCTGATACTTGCAAAAGTTCTCAAGCTCTCTGACTATAATCAAGTTAAGCTCAGAGCAATGGGTCTTTGGTTCCTGTCCTTCAAAACTTACTGCCTCTGAAGAAACACTTGTAAGCCTGAAAGCTTCTGTCACTTACTGGTTGACCTAATAGTAATAGAGTTTCCGGCAGGTACTTTCTCTATGCAGGTGTTCAGCGTATAATCCAGTAAATCCCCTGTATTTAGTGTCATCCCCATTCTTAATTTGAATGCATACACACCAGCTTAATTTGTGGGGATAAATTAGTCAAGGTAGTAATTACATTACAATTATATTAGTACTTAGTTCAGTGAGAAAATACAAGTTTTAAGTATTTGATCGTTATCTCACTGTATGGGTTTCAGTAGTTTAAGGTACTTCTTTAAATGTGCATAATAGACTCTTCACCCTGGTCCAAACATAAGACTAGATAATGCAGTTCAGAAGCTTTTTCAACTTGGGTGCTAGTGGACAGGCAAGGATGACCTTGCCTTGCTTATATTGCATACATTCTACTTATTGAATATTGGAGAAAATAACCAGATACCATTATTCTCACACAGCTCTGTTTTTGGAGCTGGTGAAGAAAAAGAAGTATAATCTGTCCCAAAAACTGAGTTATGTGACCTGTTGTCCAGTATTCCAACATGCCTCAGAAGGAAAACAGCCATGCAGGCTTCTGATAACAGTAAGCAGCTAGAACCACAAATAAATAACTCGAGGCTGTAAACTGATCCCATGTTTTGCACTCCCTTGTTCCACTTGCCAGCAGCACAGGTTCCCAGGCGCTTCCTTCAGAATGCAGCAGCAGCCTGCAGAAGGTTGAAAGGACTGCGTAGTCAGAAAGATTCTTGATGTTATCAGCTGAAATAAAAGTAGTGTTCCGTGGTGTGGAACTACACTCAGAGTCCCTCTATGCAAAGTACCAAATACTCATGTTCGTTCACTTTCACCTGACACATGAATAATTCCTGTTCCGTACTGCATATCTCTGCATTAGCTAGGTGGAATACAGGTCCACTGTGAAGTTTGTATTCTGCTGTGTAGGTATTCTTATGGAAGTTCATGGTAAAGACACATGCATTTATAAAAAGTCTATAATGAACAGTAAGTTGAAGGTCTAAAATCTGTAGTAGTTAGCCATTCTCACTATTTGCAGACTGCAGTATTGACACAAACCAAATAACACAGGAAACGATACTGATATTGCGGTTAGTGTGGTAGTTGTAAAAAAAAAAAAAATACATATATAGGATATTTAATCAGGGATGGAAAGAACCTTGTACTTTCTGGTCTGCTGTCCTATTGTTATGATTTTACAGTGTATGTTTTACTGAACTTTTACTGGTATTTACTGTTTACTTTTACTGTTTTACTGAACTGTACTGAATTATGTAGCTGGTGATTCCATATGTTGGAGTGAAGTTTTAAGGAGTGGTGTTACCTTCCTTGGACCCTTCACTGCAAGGAAAACTGCTAATAGTGGAAAAGGTGGTTAGGGTATACAGAAAACAAAGGCTGTTCAGTATTGCACAGAGTATAAGTCAGAACAAAAATCAGCTTTTTATTTGCTTAATCACTAATCTCTCCAACATGTTAAAGCAGTTAAATCACTACTAATATTTTTACCCTTACATTTGCAGGTTGAATGTCATCCATACCTTACCCAGGAGAAGCTGATCAAGTACTGTCAATCCAAAGGGATTTCTGTGACAGCATACAGTCCCCTTGGCTCTCCTGACAGGCCATGGTAAGATTACTTTGTGATTTTTGAGGAAGCTGGCATGGATTATGCTTGTGACATTGAGGCTACAAGTGCACCCTTCATCATTTATACAGTTTCTGTTCCTGTCTTTCCTCTGTGTAGGGCTAAGCCAGAGGATCCTTCCCTCCTGGATGACCCCAAGATCAAAGAGATTGCAGCCAAGCACAACAAAACTCCAGCCCAGGTATGTAGGTGCTGGACAGGGGACACCCCTTCCAGTAACACAGGACAGCTAAGGGCAAAGTAAAGGATGGGCTGGCTCTTCATTCCCTGTCCACTGTGGTGCTCTTCTGTGATGAGCAGTAGCAGTGCACGTTTCTTTGCTATGTGGCCTGCAGTGCATGTTTGCAAGGGCTCTCTGACCATCAGCCAGAAACATTTTCATTATCTGTCTTCAGATGCTGTCATGTTTCATTTTTTGCATCTCAAGTGCTGTTGCAGGGAAGTGAGCCCTTCCCCGTGTAGCGTACTAAAAGTCTAGATGGGAAAGAAAGGAACTGAGTATTACTAAACAGAATGGGAAAAGAGACCTTGTATGTGGGTCTGCACCACTTCTGTATTTGCATTTCAGGAAACACTGCTTAGAATTCAGTATGATTTAAAATGCAGGTCTGAAACATGTTGGAACAGGCTCTGCTTGCCATGGAACAAAAACAGTCCTCTTTCTGATTCAGTCATATGCCTCTTTCAGGTTCTGATTCGGTTCCACATCCAGAGAAACGTGATTGTGATTCCCAAGTCTGTCACTCCACAGCGCATTGTGGAAAACTCCAAGGTGAGAGGTTACAAATTAGCTGGGTGTGTATGTAGCACATTCAGGGATGTTGTGGCTTCCCCCTGCAGAACAAGCAGTGATCCTTTCTCATCCTTCTTACATCTTCCTCAGGGAAGACTGGGCTTTTTCTCTCTCTGCATTTACTTATGGTCTGCTGAGGGCTAAACTTAAAGTTACAGTTGGAGAGCAGAAGAGAACAAAGTATTTGAAGAGAGTATTGCTGATGATCTTGTCATGCTTCTGTTTCATGGGGATGAATCAGCTAACAGAGCTTGCTTGGAGCCTGAGTGCAGTAGCACACCACAGAAGGCTTATGTAGTGCAAGCTTTGTTAAGAAAATAGTTTTGGTGTCTAGAGACCATGTTGCTGCTCTTGATGCAGTGGTCCTTGACTGAAGGAAACCAGTAGTAGGATTTTGGAAGACACTTAGTTGCATTAAGTGGAACATGCAAGTCTTGTTGATATTCCTTTGGAATGTAACAGATGTAACTTTCACAAATGCGGAATGGAGGTGTTCTGCAACACTGAGGGCTCTCCAAGATTCATAAAATAACTGACACATGAATCACAGAATGTTAGGAGTTGGAAGGGACCTCTGGAGATCATTTAGTCCAAACCCCCTGCCCAGAGCAACTTCACCTAGAGTAGGTTGCACAGAATGTTGTCCAGGTGGATTTTGAATGTCTCCAGAGATTGGACTCAACTGCAATTTGAGTGTTTTTTTTCTTGCTCCTTCTCCCTGCTCACTGCTCTCCCCAACTCCAGCTAGTGTAATCTCAGAAATCCAGAGACTCATCTTTTTCCTGCCCCTACTTCACAAAGCAGTCATTTCTTCTAGCAAGAACCCTTGCACTGTGGACTTGTTCATTGCTTTTGTAATTTTGCTTACAATCTCTGGGTTGTACAGAGAGGTGACTTCCAGCTGTTTCTCTTGTTAGGTGTTTGACTTTGAATTGACTAAAGATGAGATGGCAACCATTCTCAGCTTTAATAGAAACTGGAGAGCCTGTGAAATGAGCACGTAAGTCACAGTGGGGTTTTTATTTTTGTTGGTTTTTTTCCAAGCTGTTAAGCTATTAGTATGTCATAGTTTTGTGTATGAAGTTCTAAATACTAGGCTTGGTTGAAATTCAGGATATGCAAACTCAATTTCCAAAGGGATCATTCTCAAACTAACTTCTCAGAGTAAGATTTTAAATGTTCATGTTATGAACTAAATCCTGATGAGCATAAAGCAAACTTCATGTTAATTTGCAATTCAGTCTCCAAGAAGCTTTTTGTTGCTGGAATTCCAACAAGAGGCTTCTTACTATTTCTGTTTTCTCCCTATTGAATAAATGAACATGATTCAGACTCAAGTTATTGATTAATTTTGCATGTGGAATTAATTTTGTTCTGCTGTAACTCTTAGATATATTGTAAGAACTGAGTATATTCTTCAGGCGTGGCTGGGAACATAGGTGAACATTAAAAAATATAAAGATTTGCAACTTGGAAGCCTGAAGTCAGATACAAAATCTTTTGGAAGGCTGCCATAAAGGTCTTCCTGGCAGTAAACAGAGAAACCTTGTATTAGTTGTCTACAGAACATCTAGGTTGCATCTCTTGAAGTGCTTAGAGCCCCAACAACAGAAGGCACTTGAAAATCTTGGATTTTACAAATGCAGCATGTCTTTGAGGAAGAGAGGAGCACACTGACTCTGCTTTTATACAGTTTAGCTCATTCCTTTGTGGCTCTTTACAGTGGTGACTGCTGCATTATAGTGTGTTTTTTTTCACATGAGATAATCTTTCCTTTTAAATTTCTTTCAGGTGCAAAACTCACAAGGACTACCCTTTCAATGCAGAATACTGAAGATGCTTTCCTGCCTTTCTCCAGGCTTCTCAGATATGCTTCTGCTGTTGCCTATGAGTTGTCTACGTAGATTTCTCACTGCATCAGACCCCCCTTTTTTTTCCTTTTCCCCACAAAGATGCAGTATATGTACTCAGTGACTTTCTGTTACTTTTTTGGAAGAAGGAAATGCTAGAATGATTCTGAAGAGCACTGTGTGGACTAGTAGGTTGTCTTTGCCAAACTGCATATCTGGAATTGGTAAGCAGAAAACACTGAAAAGGTTTGAACTAGCAGCCACATTTATTTTGGAATGCTATGAATTGGAGCTAGTGACTGTTGTTGTCTAGAAGGACCAGGATATGACAGATTTCACATAATTAATGTGAAGTCTGCTTTTTTTCTGATTTCATTTGGGTTTGGTTTTGTTTCTTTTTGTAACACTCCATGCTTTTTTTTCTCCCATTGGAAGTACAAGTTGATTTCTAAGTACAGCAGTTTCTATATGGGTAGCTCTGTTGAAAAGTTGTATAGGTCCTGGTTTCTTGATGATACAAAAGCTGTTTTTGCTTATAATAAATATTGTTTCATTACTGTGTGTAATGAGATGGTTATTTCGACAATGCTCTAATGGTTAATGCTGGAGTAGCTATATTGTATCAGCTGTCTCTAGAGACTACACAAACAAGGAAAGCTACTGTCCCCTGAAGAACCATCTGGTGTTGCTGTTAGTCTTACACTTCCTGCTAATTCTCTGTTCTCATACTCACATGTAGAACACTTGTGTGGTGAACCTCAGGTGCCATTGATGAGTCTGCTTGAGCCTTTAAATAGAGCTGTTTTGGTATGTCTAACAGCTAATACACTAATGTTTATTTTACTGAAGTGATAGTATACTCCGGCTAGTCAGAACTTAATCAATTGAAGATGTTATGCCTGCTCAGAAGAATCCTATGGGATTGTTTAATAAGTAAAGAGTAGAAAACTTGTCCTTTCCAAAGAGGCAGCACAGGAGAGGCTGCTGGGCTTGTACAAGCAGCCATTTGCAAATAAAGTAAAAATGGGTTTTCCAGAAATGTTTGTAGCAAGATCAGAAACTTACTGCTCTCTTCTTGGAGGACAGAAAAGTAGGCTTATACTCAGATTTTGACTTGTGGATTGTGTTTGTCCGTTGGGGTTTATGGTTTCCACAATACTTGCAGGTAATTGTTCTAAAGTTGTTGCTTGTGAGCTGTGTAAGACTATTCAGAAATGCATTTGGACACCTGGAAAAACAGTAGCTAGTGTTGGGGTGATTTTCTTGTATGTTAATTTTTTTTCCAAGCTCTGAGTTGATCTAAAGTGCCAACTGACCCCTGAAGGAGGTTGTGCAGGCCTGGCAGAAAGAGGGTTCTTTCTGAACAAATGAAAGAAGGGAGACACCAAGACTGTTAATGCATAACCACCCCTGAATGGTAAACACAAGGTACGAGTCTGATTCCATAGCTGCATAGCATACCCTAAAGGGAGCTCAGCTATCTTAAAATGCACCATGGAGGCAGCTGTTATCAAGCTATTTGCAAAGTAGGTGGTTTGTTTCCTGCTGTTGGTAAAGTATTAAGGAGTCATGTTAACTTACAATTTTTCTTTCTGATCAATAGTAATTATTATATTGAGAAAACAGATTCTGTTATCTTCACATGCTGCTTTTAAATCTTTCCTGCTTTTTGCATCAGGTTTTGCAGTCAGAGCAGTTTACAATAGGCTGAATAAACAAAATTGAGTTAAGTTACAACAGGAGGAGGAAAGAATCATTGTCTGACTCTAAGCAATAGCCTCCTGATTCTTCTAACATGATTATAATGACTTGAAATTCTGTGCTTAAAAGCAAATACAAAAAGCTTCTGTTCTACAGATGGCTTTTGTATATCTATAATGTGATAAATAAAAGCCTAAAGGTAGCTAAAAAAAGCAGCACAGCTAATGTTCTTAGATTAGTCTGTGCTGTGACAGAACACTGTTTGGGGCTGTGTTGACTTGCTTGGAAATAACATTTTTGTGACGAGCTTGGTTTGGCAAGAAGTTACATTGAGGGTCAAGGTTTCCAAAATTGTACATCAAGTTCTGTTCATTTCCTCTGTTTGCATTTCACTGTAACTTTCATAAAGTTTGTGCCTGAAATTTTCCATTCTCAGAGTAGGAATTTTACTGGAGAAGGCTTTCAGACCACTCCACAGCGAAAGGAAGACTAGCTAGCACTCAGGGTGGAGTGGTATTGTAACAGGCTGTCTCTGTATTTTGCTGGATGACTTAGTAGGAAAGAATTTGGAAGGGGTCCTTCTGGGACACCGTGCAACACTTAACCAGCAGAAAAGGCTTGGATGCTTGGTGAAATAGAAGAGTGGGAATAGAGGAAAAAGAGACACCTGAGCCGAAGGGACAAAAAGATGCATGAACCTGAACAGAAAGTAGGCTGTTGTCAGAAAGGAGTGGAAAAGGAGTAATAGAAAACCCTGCCACCCATAATGGTTTTGGATTGCTTCTTCAAGGCCAAATATAGTTAAATAAGGCTCAGAGGAAAAGCCAGTCTTCTAGACTGCAGCCACGTCTTTGTTTAATCTAGGTTGATCTGGGCACTGTTACAGTAAAGTAGCTGTTGTACCCTGCTACTTGTGCCACACAGTCTCTGCCTAGAAGAGCAGAGATTTCCTTTCATCTCCTAAAAGGTAAAGTGGAAAGATCAAAGAATTAGATATCCGGAGCCTAGCATTC